CAGATTTTTGATGAGGTAGGGCATGTTGAGGGTGGTATGGCCATAGACCAAGCTCCAGATTCAAGGTACCTTTACCTGTGCAAATTTCTCATTATGCAGTCACAACAATGCCTGAAATTTCAATGCTAAAATAAAACGCATGTTAATCAACAAGCACAGGCCTTTAAGTACTAAAAGCCCCCAAATAGTTTTCTGCCTCCCATAACTGAAGCAGAGTGACATCTCACCTTTACTTCTAAATATAGCTCAAATGTTCACCCTAAATACTCTGGTTGCTAAAATCACAAATGTCAAGGATTATAATGCTCCCTGAGAGCTTCCGGAGGCTCAGCTCCCTACCTTTTCCAATGCCTTGTCTTGCACAGCTGGCCCTGAACCTGGAGGAGGAGGGGCTCGGCGCTTCTTCATCTCCGACTTCACAGACACTGCTGAGATGCTGCCCAGAGAGAGGGATGGACCCAGCATAATGGAACGTGAATGCACGGTCGGGGAGTTAGGCGTTGTTAAACAGCCCTGGTGGGAACAGACAAGACAAAAGCTCATCAATATGAGATGACTTCTCTCTGTGTGACGCTCACACATGAAAATAAAACAAAGTGCCAAACTGTCCACCCAAGCTTCTAATAGCATCTGTTTTCACTGGCAGGCTTGAATGTCCTGAGCAAAACCCGTTTTCACTTTGCTGGGAAAGTTATAGAAGGCACTGCAGGACAGATGCATACGGTAAGGTTTATTTTCTTAACCATGAAGGAAACAGCAGACTTCTTACATCTCTAAGAAGAACACGTAGCAGCTGGAGTCATTTACTATTCCCGTCCAACCTGCAGGTATGAATCAGGTATGCTGATACATACCTGCAGGTGCGGGCAGACCGAGAAACGCGTCTTCACGAGGAAGAGTGCCAGCAGTCTCTGCCACCTCGAGCAGTTCTTCACCTGCTCCAGGAAGGGGCTTACGTTCCTTCTAATTTTCAGAAGTTGTGAAAAAATGACTGTAGTATGAACAACACGCTGTGAACACTCCCTGTGACCATCAGCGCAGTACTTTGTGAAAGATATCTAATAAACTGAAAATAAGTGCAACCCAGCACACGAATTAATTATTCACAAGGAGCAATTTCTATACCAGAGGGAGCAGGCTAATGGACACATACGTTTTTTTTCAGTCTTTTTTCTCCCTAGGGTCCACTTAATAGAAAAATATGTGTTAGTGCCGAAAGATCACTTAGAGAACTGGCACTCTAACCTCAAATTAAAAACAAAGTGGTGGCTGTCCCCTACCCTGGTACAGGTTGAATATCCCTAACCCCCAATGCAGAAATCCAAATTGCTCCAAAATCCAAAACTTAATGAGCACCAACATGATGCTCAGAGGAGATGCTCATTGGACCATTTTGGATTTTCAGATTAGGGATGTTCAACCAGTAACTATTCCATACAAATCTTAAAAAATCCAACTGAAACACTTCTGGGTCTCCTTATTAGGTTGCATGGCTGGCTTAACATCAGCATAGCCAGGCTAAGCAACTTTCCCCCTTCTCCCCCTCGCCTTTCCCTTTTCTGCTCCAGGAACAGGAACGGGGCAGTGAAATTCCTCTCCTGGGAAGGGGTAAACGTGACCATTATCATCAAAGGAACGTCTTGTGGGCTGTGGGAACAGGCTTCAGGCTGGAGTGCTTTGCACTGATACAGTAACAACATTAATCAGAAGCCTATGCTCTAACTGACCAGGTGTTAGCAGACTACGAGGGCTGTGTCACCTTGCAAACCACTGATTTCGAAATTGCCCATTACTCTGCCAGAACCCTCAAGGGCTTATAAACTCCCGCTTTCCTTTGTTCAGGGGAACTGATCTGACTCAGTCTCCCCTCCACGTTGGTGGAAATAAAGCTGCTTGGCTGAAATAGTGCCTGGCTCAGGTCTTTCTCTCCCTTTTCTCCATCTGCCGAACCTAACACTCCCCACCCTGCCTGATTTTCTTCCAGTGCACATAGAACCTGGGACGTATTCCACACTGAGGGTCAGCCCAGGACAGGGGATAAGCCCACAGACCCTGCAGACCCTGTCCAGGGTTGACTCCTGGCTTTGCCACTTACAAACCGCATGGCCTCGGGCAAGTTTTTAATTTCACTCTGCTTCAGTTTAACTCCTGTAAAACCCAGCTGATACCCGTTCCTGCATCACAGAGTTACCATTTGAACTACATGGCTCACCACATGTAAAAGCTCTAAAGTGCTCTCATCACAAAGTAAGCATCCAAAATGTGTGAGCTACTATGATTATTACATATTTGCTTATCTGTCTCCCTTTACAATGTGAGCAGACACAGTAAGGACGGACATGCTCACCCATGGTCACCCACCACCATATGCCAATCCCAACAGTTCCTGGTGCGTGGAGGGACCTTGAGTTGACATTTGTGGAATGAATGAACGGATGGGGAGCCTCTGGGCACCTCTGCTTTCATATTTTACATCATGAACGTGTGGGTAAGATTTCATGTGAACACTGGCTCTCCGTATTGAAAATAAACAAAGGAAACCTATCATATTAAGCAATGGCTCGGTATTATTT